TTGGGTGCAAGACTGACGCGCAGGCGCTCGGCATCATTGGCGAGCTGAAGAAGCACTTCAAGCTGCGCGAGTTGGGTCCTACCACCTGGCTACTGGGCGTTGCCATTGAGCGCGAGCGCAGCCAGCGCACGCTGTCTCTTTCGCAGCGCCAGTACGCCGTGGACGTCCTAGAGCGGTTTGGCATGGCCGACTGCCACCCGGTCACCACCCCGCTCGACCCCTCGCACAAGCTCAGCGCCGCCGACGCTCCTGTCACGCCGGAGGACATCGAGTTCATGTCCACCCGCGCTAAGGAGTACGCCTCTGCTGTTGGCGCCATTGCCTGGCTCGCCCTCGCCACTCGTCCCGACCTCGCCTACCCGGTCTCTGTCCTCGCTCGCTTCACCGGCAACCCCGGCCGCTCGCACTGGCGCGCGCTCATGCACCTCTTCCGCTATCTCAAGGGCACACTTGACTACAAGCTGACCTACGACGGCAAGGCGGTGAATGCGCGCTCCGAGCTCTTCTACACCTACACCGACGCGGACCACGGCGGTAATCCGGACAACGGACGGTCTACCAGCGGCCAGATTGTCATGATGGCGGGTGGACCGGTCTCCTGGTCGTCCAAGCTGCAGACTATAGTCGCGCTTTCGACCACCGAGGCAGAGTACGTTGCGGCGTGCTCTGCCGGCCAGGAGATCCTGTGGATGCGCAACTTCCTGACCGAGTGTGGCTACTCGGTCAAGAGCGCACCATCCACCCTCTACATCGACAACAACTCGGCGCTGCAGGTGGCCAAGAACCCGGAGCATCATGGGCGCATGAAGCACCTGGACCTGCGCTTCTACTGGCTGCGCGATGAGGTGCATCGCGGCAGCATCCGCCTTGTCCATCTGCAGACAGCGGATATGCCAGCTGACATGCTGACCAAGGCCTTGGGCCGGGTCAAGCTGCAGCACATGGCTGCGCTCTCTGGCCTTGGAGTTGGGCGCTAGGACGTGCTCGATCAAGGGGGTGTGTTGGAATCGGTGTCTACGCGCTCTCTAGCGCCTATGGTATTTTTCTGTGATTTTTCGGACTTTTTCCCGGTACTGTACGCTTACCTACAGTCATATCTCTGCGCTCGCGCCTTATTGCCGAGCGCCACATATTTCCTCGGCATTTGCCGGTCCCACCTGCCTAGAGCGGCACATCCGAGTCTTTTCTCTTCCTGACTCGTTTGCTGTCGCTCTAGGTGCGTAGTTATGCGTTCTGTACCACTGAATATACACCTGACTCGTTTGCTGTCGCTCTAGTGTAATCACTGGCTCGATTCTGCCTCGGACAAGGACACAAACAACAGACCACAAGATGACGGTCAAAGACAAGGTTAAGTGACAGCGTGATATGTGACTATAGGTAAGTATCCCCTTTGGGACGGTCCAAGCACACCAACTCCAACATCGAGTACCCACCGCACTGGCGAATTCGCGGTGCTGGGCTCGGCACGGGGACGCGTTTTTCGATGCTCCTAGGCTAAGGAGGCCTAGGTTGAGTGGAGGGAAGGTACTCGGGCGCGTACAATCGCGTCTTTACTCACCCATGGACTCGCGCGCCACCCGTCACACATGCGTGACTGTCCGATCGCGACCGTGTGACGGGTCGTTACCCGCCGCCATTGCCAATCCCTCCCTCGCGCCCTCGCGCTCTTGCACCCGCTTCCGCCTTCGCCCCTCCCGCTGCTTGGCCGCCCTTGCCGCCACGAAAACCCTTGGGAACGCAGCCGCTAGCGAAAGGGAGTCACGCGCACGCGGCAACACGCGCGAGCAAAATAGCCCACCCCCCTCCCCGCTGTCCACGCCCACAACGACGCGGTTCTCAAGAGAAGGATCTCCACCCCATATCTCCGCACCCCCACGTCCTCACTCCCGTGACCGCGCTCGTGTCAACGGCTTCCGCGGGCTACGCGCATTGCGTCGCGCCTGGGCAGCCGGCATCGCCCAGATGACAGCTCATCGCTGTCATCTGGGCTTTTGACGTCCCTCGCGCATGCCCCGCCCCCTCATCTTCCCCTCCCCAGCTGCGCGCTCCTGTCTGTATGCCTGTGCGGCCTGCACGACGCGCGTCGCATCAGCGAAAAATTTTCGCCGGCGCTTTCGCGCATTTTCCCCTCATTCCTCGCATTCCTTGCGCATTCTATGTACTTTCCATGTACGTACTGTATATACACTTTATCTCTGCTGTACCTGCACGGACGAGGGGGACGCGTGGCGGCGGTGGCGGCAACACGCGGCGCGACGTCGACGCGACGCGCTGACGTGGCTGTGCAGCCGCGCCAGCGGCGCATCAACGGCGGGCGGCGCACGGGAGCCCCGACGGCGGCGGCATCACGCGCGACGGCCGACGCGTGTGGCACGATCATCCGCGGCGGCGAGCCCGGAGGTTGCCTGCCGCATTGGGCGTAGCCCAGCGACGTCCCGGGCAGCTTCCGGGAGGCCGTGGCTGTGCAAGTAGCACCTTCGTTACATTATCAAATGTACGGCAGACACTTGTCTGGTACTTTTTAAAACATTTTACGCGCACAGGTGCACAAAGCAAGAGAACCTCACTTGATGTGAGGCTTTGCGAGCTGCATGCGTGTGGTCGTGTTGAATGCGGGTTTGTGTGGGTGGGGAGGGGGCTGGGATGAGGAGAGGGTCAGCGCGTGAGTGCGCAGTTGCGCAGCAGCGTGGGCCATGGCTTCCCACCTCTACTCCTCCTAGGCCATAACGGCCTAGAGGTGTCGAAAGCACGCCCCCCACACCGAGCCCCGCACCGCGAATTCGCCAGTGCGGTGGGTACTCGAACGGGCGGGGCTATGGGCGAGGGGCGTGCAGCTCGACACTGAGGAGGGAGGTGGAGGTGAAGGGGGCGTATGGACACCTGGGCGATGCGAGCGTAGTCCGCCCGCGATGCTGAATGCATTGCGGGGGACGCCATTCAACGTCAATTGTGGAAAAAATAAGAATTCAGTAAATTTTCGTTGAACAGGGCGTAACAACGCACCTGCAAGCCTCTCCCGCACGCACATATGCGCTCTTATCGCGCATTGGCGTGTCATTCTGGCCGTCTTGAGTATCTGGTCGCGTGCACGCACATCCGGCCGCGGTATTGCTGGGGACGCGTCTTGAACGCGTTGAGGGGGGCTGGGGGTGAATGTGACTCTGATAAGCGCGAGAAATGATATGCAGAGCAGGATAATGGAGGGAGGGAGGGGGAGGGGGCCGGCGGCGCAGCGGGAAGACACGATGGTGGGGGGCAAGGGCAGGAAACGCGCGGCCACAACGCGGCGTATGACCGGGCCGGATGCTCAGTCCGATACCCGAACTTCGTGCTCGTTGTGCTGGACGGTCTCGGACGCAGACTGAGGGCACTCTGAGAATCAGATAGGTGCAGATTATCATACAAGACATACCAAAGACCGTACAGTTTATTTTTCAAAAGCCTTGACGCCCTGTGTGCTTTTCAAGAGTGGAAAGGGGCTCGGAGACTGGCAACAGAGGCACAGTCGACACAGACACAGACACGGACCGGAAGGCGACAACGCAACGGACTGAATAGAAAGGTAGGTAGAGGGACGCGTAAGCTACCAACATTGTATATACTTGTTGTCCATGGGCTTTAAGCACAGCCCGGTATAGATGAGTCAGAGGTGTCCACAAATACCCACTCGTGACAGTGCTATGCAATTGAAGATCGACGACGGAGACCATATCATTTGGAATCTAATGATCCTCAGATCAACACTCCCCAAGACGCTTTTTGGTGCATTCGTCCGCCAAATCTCGGTCGATTTCTACCAAATAAAGTTCAATCTCTACGGAACACACTCCCCTTTCTTGGCATGTAGAGTACGCAATATTTGAATCATTGGATATCATGCAGGAAAGCAAAAGCCCGGTTCAAATGCAAAAATTCCGAATGTTCTGCTGTTTTCAGCGCATTCTAAGCACAAAGCCTAATTCAAACTCGCTGAGGATTTTCTATACGCTACTACGCTATGCTCTATCTACTTTTCTTCGGCCAGAATGCAATGCCGTGTGATGCACAGGCCATCTAAGATGACAAAAGCGCCACTCGGACGCCCGGGCCGGCATCCGAGCGGTCCCAAGGCCGGTTTACGTGGCCCCGAATATCTACACACCTACTGCTGCTGCGCGCTTGCCTCTCCGCCCTCCTTTTGTAGCGTTGACACGATTTGAAGGGCTCAACATCACCATACACATCCCCCCACTCTCTCTCGCTGTTGTTTCTCACCTGTCGCCCCTCGATAATGGACTCGGGGGCCTGTGATCGGGCAGATGTTCCTTCGCTCTCACCGCCATCTCTATTCGCTGACCGGCCGCATCCCCCCCTCTCTTCCCTCCTCATCTCTCCCACACCCCACGCACACATTGCTACCCCAGCCACACCCCGCAGCGCCCTCAATCGCGCTCTCATGCGGCCATACGCACTTCCTGGCTGCCGCTACCAGCACGTGCCATACAGCAGACCACCGCGCATAGCGCGGCGGTCTGCGTTGTCAAAATCTGACATCCCTCCCTCCCTGTCCCCCTTCCTACGGCTCTATGCCTAGGATGATGCCTTCGGCCGCCCACGGAACCCATCCTCCACCCCTCGATCACGCACGATGGTCACTCCATCCATCACGCTCGACCACCCCCTCCCCTCACAATATCTCACCAGGCAGTGTGGTCGACGCTTTTCCATGCCCCCTCCTCCCTCAACGTGTGTTGCCACATCCGCTCACGCAAGGTGTACAACACGTGCTACGCTGGCGAAAATTTTCGCCGGCCCATATTCAGTTATTTTTTCTCTTCTCGCGCTTCCGGGCGCTTCTTTTATATACCCAGAAGTGACCATAGTAGATAGACTATATATTGCTTACTTTTGGAGAACAACATGCATGGGCAGCAGCGGCAGCGGCAGTGGCGGCGACGCGCGCGCCCGACGCGTCAACGCGCTGACTAAGCGAAGCTGACGCGCGCACAGGCGGCGCATCAGCCGCGGCGGGGGCGGAGCGTGCGCGAGGTGTGGGCGTGCGGCGCGATCACCCGCTCGGCGAGCCCGCGGGGTTGCCTGCCACATAAGGCGGTCGCCGGCGAGGTCCCGGGCAGCTTGCCAGGGGGCGTGACTGTGCAGGCGGGATGTTTGCGCAGATTTTCAAAAGATTGGCGGACATATTTCGGGTACTTTTTAAAAAGCTTTACTTCCACAGCTGTTGCTCGTGGGTTTCTCCGTCGTATACCCCCATACTCCTCGCTTCAGCACGATCTCCAGATTATCCCCTCCATAGTGCTCCCAAGGCGGCAAGGGGACGCCCCAGACGTTGATATCGTGCTCCATTCCCTCGATGATCGGATAGGCGTCCACGTAGTACTGTCGCTTCATTGTCCGCTCGTAGATGATCTTGCACCCTTCTGCGTCCTGGCGCCGGCGCGACCCCTTTCCCACTTGCAGCCACACGGGCTTGCTGTACCCACAATTTGGCTCGTTCTTGTCGCCCGGGACTTCACTCTTCTCCGAATACCACTCCACGAAATAGTCCCAGTGGCCCTGGTCAGCGACGTTGCGAAGCTGTGGCGGACAGACGACGCCATGTCTATGCCCTACAGTGTCCTTTGCTGCGGGGTAGTCCAACTTGCGCCATCCGGTTAGACCCAGCGAGCCCGGCCGCACTCGTACGCGAGCCACTCGGTTCGCGTAAGGCAGCTCGGGGGTCTCGCAAGGGACCTCCTTTGTTACGCGCCACTTCGACGTCTTCGCTCCTGGTATCTTGCGCTATAGGACTGAACGTGTGGGCAGCATTACTGGTCCAAAGGAGGCGTACTTCTCCGCCTCGCTTTGCCCATTCTCTGGCAGGTCGGTCAAGAAATACGCCGGCACACGCGCGATGAGCATCATCCATCTTCCCTCGACTTTGTCCGCCGTGTTGAACCAGGCGCCCAGGTAGGTCTTGTCCGCTGGTAACAACGCTAGGGCGCCCAGCTGCTCCATGACGGCGTCGCGTTCGTCCTTGTCCCAAGGCAGACACCCGTATTTGATGAGCAAGGATACGTACTTCCACCATGCCCAGCGCTCGCGCATTCCTTGCTGAATGAGTGCGAACAGGTCTACCATGTCTTCCCAAGTTAACTCTTCCTCAACGAGCGAATGGAATTGCTCGGCCGTGTTGGGATACAAAAGTGACCTGACCTGGGTTTGAACCAAGGACCTCCACCTCTCGGGGGTGACGCTCTAACCACTGAGCTATCGGGTCTTTAGTTACTGAGGTGCTGATCACAAGTCAACAGGCCGAGTAGCAACGCGGTGGAGGCTCGACGGCGTATCGCAGGAAGGAGCAAAAGGTGTCCAGGGCTACCACTGCCTCCTTCTCCTGGCGCTCCAGCTGCTCCTCCTCCTGCTTGAACCTTTTGATGAGGCTCTCCGGTAGACGCTGCTTCTTGACTTCCTGTGTGAGAGCGTCCAGGGTAGGTCTCGCCGGAGTCCTCGAGGGTTAACCTTGGGTAGTAATAGGCAGGCAGAAGCTCTGCACGTCTGTACTGGCTGTCGATTATGTAGGTCCTTGGGAAGGACTCGGTCGCGGGTAGATCAGTCCCGCGACCGATGTGAGATGACCCTGCGAAGGGCGAGGCTCCGTAGGAGCGTGAGGAGGCCTTGCGTCGGCCGACGGCTCGTCCTGAGCTCGGCGCCGCTGCGCGCGATGAGCGGGTTCCGTATCCCGACCAAGGGGACGGTCACGCTGTCCGTCATCGAGCTGATCTCCCGGCCAGGGGCGCTGTACGTGGCGAACGGCCATTCCCTGGCTAGGGGCTCAGCTGTGGCGAGCGGAGCATCGCTAGAGTTCCTAAGTTGTTGCGGCACGCATAACGGTCAAGAGCAAGAAGTAATCGTTTTTGGTAAGTCGGCCCGGTCAGTGAATAGGCCGGGCCGCGTGCTATCGGTGAGCTCCGGGGCTCTTGTTACAAGATACAAGTACATATAGTATAGCTAGCTGTGTAGATCCTCACATCCTGATCCATCTGCGCGTAGTACGGGTGGAAGAAGGTGTACGAGGCCGTCGTCTCTGTCAACTCCCGCATCACGCGGTGGACAAAGCACATCCAGGGTCGCGCCGAGTCGTAGTACTGGGGGTACTCGTACCCGTCGTCAGGACCCAGGTGGCCGTCGAATTGTCGGCGCGCACGATCGGCTGCACAGGAAGCTGGATTTCCTCCTTCCTCGGGGGCTGGCGCGCCTTGGTAGCGCCCCGCGAAGTACGGGATGGTCGTAGCATTTGGCGTCCATAACAGCAGGTCCGTTTCGTGTATCTCCCCGTGTATAGCGCGACAACGCCCGTGTTGTATCCTGGCTTCGACGCGGAACGACCAACTTGTGGCCCAGCTCGCGTCAACTAGGGCGTACGGCCTCTCCCAGTAGTTGGCGTCGCTGTCGACGCGCGGAGTGGAATAGCGGAAGAATGACATAGCCGGACTAAGACGCGGGAGGAACCGAGGTATCAGCGCAAGCGCAGTCCCTTGGGTTCGAGAAAAAGGAGCGTTAGGTTTTGGCGCAAGCGCTGTCCCTATACGCAACGATGATGGTTGGAAGCGGGCGTTCTCGTGAGAATTCGCTTAGTCATTCCTCGGCGCTTGATCGTTCCCACGATCAGGCGTGACTGACGCCTGGTCACAGTTCGGTTCGTTCGCGTCCTTGATGTGGAGTTCTTCCTGCCTCTGTCGCTCCTCCTGCGCCGCCCAGTACCTCCGCTTAAGGTAAGGGGAATTTCGAAGAGCATCCTCAGCGATGTACATGTTGTCCGCCGGCCCGTAACCCTTCCATTGTACTAAATACTGCAGCCGACTTCCCAAGCGCTTGTTCGTGTAGCGATGGCCCAGAATATCCTTGACTTCGTACTCTTCGTGTTCCGGGAGGAGGTCTCGGGTCTCAGGGAGCTCCTCCCTGTCCCCGAAACGTTTGGGAGACTTCCGGTATCTCCGAAGATGCTGTACGTTGAAGACGGGGTGCATAGGGTAGTTTGTGGGGAGCCATACCCGGTAGACTAGTGGATTGATCTTCTCCATAATCTCGAAGGGTCCGATGGCGCGCTGCACCAGCTTCGCGCCCTGTCCCTTCTGTTCGACTAGCTCCAAGGAGTGAGGATTGATAAGGACCAGATCCCCAGGCTTATACTCCTCCATCGGTTTCCTTCCCTTATTGTACGCACGCGCTTGTCTTTCCTGCGCCATGACGACCGCGTCTCGGGCGGCGGCTCGATAATTCTCCAGCGTCATGACGAAATGCTCAGCCTGTAGACTCGGGAGCTCGGGTCGCGCCACCGGCCGCGGTCCCAGAGCTCCAAGAGCGGAGAACTGCGTCACATTGTATCCCATGAGTAGGAACTGCGGGGTCTGCTTCGTCGACGAGTGGACGCTCGAGTTATATGAGTGTGCCAACTCGCTCAGATGCTCCGCCCAGGCCGCGCAATTCGGGGTTGCGTAGGCTCTGAGCATCTGCTCCAGCGTTGCGTTCAGTACCTCTGTCTGTCCGTCGGTCTGTGGGTGGTGCGACGTAGATAATGCAAGGTGACACTGTAGTAATCCGTCACCGCCTTCCAGAAGTCCGTAGCCCAGCGTGCGTCACGGTCGGAGATGATGCGCGTTGGCATCCCGTACATGCTAACGACGCGGTCCACGAAGATCTTCGCAAATCCTTCCCTGGACAGCTTAGTGTGCGTTGGAATGAACAAGGTGAATTTTGTGAGCTTGTCGACGATGACCAGAACTGCCGTGAACTTCTCCTTGCCCGACGGGGGCAGACCGGTGACCAAGTCGAGTGAGACCGTTTCGAAAGGGCGCTTGGGTATCGGCGCGGGGCGCAGTCCCCCAAACTTCCCTGATCAATCCACCTTTGTTTTTTGGCATATGTCGCAGGTCAAGGCAAATTCTTCGGCGTCCTTCAATAAGGTCGGCCAAAAGAATACCTGCCGCAACCGCGCCACGAACCGCACGGCTCCCGCATGTGCTGCTTCGTATGGGTTGTTGTGTATCGTCTGTAGGACGTAGTTGATGTCCGAGGCAGAATCGAGCCAGTGATCACACTAGAGCGACAGCAAACGAGTCAGATTCACAAGTAGCGAGATACAACGCATAACTACGCACCTAGAGCGACAGCAAACAAGTCAGGAAGAGAAAAGACTCGGATGCGCCGCTCTAGGCAGGAGGGCACGGCAAAAGCCGAGGAAATATGTGGCGCTCGGCAGTAAGGCGCGAGCGCAGAGATAGGACTGTAGGTAAGCGTACAGTACCAGGAAAAAGTCCGTAAAATAGCAGAAAAATACCATAGGCGCTAGAGAGCGCGTAGACACCAATTCCAACACACCCCTCTGATCGAGCACGTCCTAGCGCCCAACTCCAAGGCCAGAGAGCGTCGCCATGTGCTGCAGCTTGACCCGGCCCAAGGCCTTGGTCAGCATGTCAGCCGGCATGTCTGCTGTCTGCAGATGGACGAGGCGGATGCTGCCGCGATGCACCTCATCGCGCAGCCAGTAGAAGCGCAGGTCGAGGTGCTTCATGCGCCCATGATGCTCCGGGTTCTTGGCCACCTGCAGCGCCGAGTTGTTGTCGATGTAGAGGGTGGAGGGCGCGCTCTTGACTGAGTAGCCACACTCGGTCAGGAAGTTGCGCATCCACAGGATCTCCTGGCCGGCAGAGCACGCCGCAACGGTCTGCAGCTTGGACGACCAGGAGACTGCTCCACCTGCCATCATGACAATCTGGCCGCTGGTAGACCGCCCATTGTCCGGATTACCGCCGTGGTCCGCGTCGGTGCAGGTGTAGAAGAGCTCGGAGCGCGCATTCACCGCCTTGCCGTCGTAGGTCAGCTTGTAGTCAAGCGTGCCCTTGAGATAGCGGAAGAGGTGGGTCAGTGCGCGCCAGTGCGAGCGGCCGGGGTTGCCGGTGAAGCGAGCGAGGACTGAGACCGGGTAGGCGAGGTCGGGATGAGTGGCGAGGGCGAGCCAGGCGATGGCGCCAACGGCAGAGGCGTACTCCTTGGCGCGGGTGGACATGAACTCGATGTCCTCCGGCGTGACAGGAGCGTCAGCGGCGCTGAGCTTGTGCGAGGGGTCGAGCGGGGTGGTGACCGGGTGGCAGTCGGCCATGCCAAACCGCTCTAGGACGTCCACGGCGTACTGGCGCTGCGAAAGAGACAGCGTGCGCTGGCTGCGCTCGCGCTCAATGGCAACACCCAGTAGCCAGGTGGTAGGACCCAGCTCGCGCAGCTTGAAGTGCTTCTTCAGCTCGCCGATGATGCCGAGCGCCTGCGCGTCAGTCTTGCACCCAATCGTCATGTCGTCCACAAAGACGGGCACGAGGATGCGCGCGTCGCCGCGACCGTACACCCACACGCTGTGGTCGCAGAGAATGCGCGTGAAGCCCATCTCTACAAGCACCTTGTTCAGCGTCTCGTGCCAGACATGACTCGCCTGCTTCAGCCCATAGAGCGACTTCTTCAAGCGCCAGACATAGTCCTTGTCAGGATCAATGCCGAGCTTGAAGCCGGGCGGTTGGCGCATGTAGATCTCCTCGGCTAGGTCGCCGTTCAAGAACGCGTTGCTGATGTCGATGGAGTAGAGCACGAGGTCGCCCATGGCGGCGAGGGCAAGGATGGCGCGGATGGCGGCCCACTTCGGCGTAGGGGCGAACGTCTCGGTGTACTCGAAGCCGGGACGCTGCGAGAAGCCCTGCGCGACGCAGCGCGCCTTGTACCGCTCGATAGACCCATCAGCGTTGCGCTTCACCTTGAACACCCACCGGCTGCCAATGGCGCGCTTGCCTGGCGGCAGCTCGACCACCTCGAACGTGCCGTTGTCGACCAGCGCCTGCACCTCGTCGAATGCGGCCTCGATCCACTTCGCCTTGTCCGGGCGAAGCAGCGCTTCAGCAAACGTCTTGGGCTCGCCTTGCTGCGGGTCCGGCGCGACTGTAGTGGCGAGGGCGAAGTCGAGGGCCTGTTCTACTGACCAGTCCTCTTGGGTGATGCCGCTGAAGACATAGTCAAGGCCGGCCTGCATAACGTGCGCTCCTGGGATAGGCGTCTCATCAGTGATCCTCAGCTCATCCTCACTCCCTGACCACTCCATCATCCTGCGCCTCGCCTCTGCTCTGTCCTGCGCATCATCCTCCTGCACCTGCTCTCTGCGCTCCTCCTGCACCCCCTGTTCGCTCTGCTCGCTCTGCTCCTCCTGCTCCTCCTCCTCCTCATCCACCTCCTCAATCTGGCCGGATAACGGCGCGAACCGATTAGGGGACGTCACCTGCAGCTGGGGCGCGGGTGTAGACGATGTAGCGCGGCCTGTAGAAGGCGGCGCAGGCTGCTTTTGCCAAGCGCGAGTCGTCAATTCGCGCTCGGATAAGCTATGGGTTGGCTTGGTTGCCCGAGGCAGACGCGACGGTGGCGGTCCGCTCGAGGTAGACGGCCGAACTGTCTCCCAAGCAGGGGACGGACTGCGCTCAGGGCGCGGTGCTGGCTGCTGCTCCTGCGCGCGCTCCTGCCTGCCTCTAAGCGCGGCCTTACTAGGCGGCGCGGTGCGAGGGGGGCGGGGCGCAGAGGGCGGCGGCGGACGCGCGCTAGGCGGCGTGGTAGGCTCAGCTGGCTGCTGAAGCGGTGTAGAGGGTGCCGGCGGCGATGTGGGCGGCGGTGTGCGCAACTGAGGCGCGGCAGGCGCTGGCTGTCCGGATGGGGGAGGTGGCTGATCATCATAGAGCGCGACACCATCGTCATCTGCGCTATGACGATGGGTAGAGGGCGACGGCACATCACCCCCTTGATCAGCAACGTCCCCAAAGTCCGGAGGGCCTTCACCTGTTGGAATCGGTGTCTACGCGCTCTCTAGCGCCTATGGTATTTTTCTGCTATTTTACGGACTTTTTCCGGGTACTGTACGCTTACTTACAGTCCTATCTCTGCGCTCGCGCCTTATTGCCGAGCGCCACATATTTCCTCGGCATTTGCCGGTTCCTCCTGCCTAGAGCGGCACGTCCGAGTCTTTTCTCTTCCTGACTCGTTTGCTGTCGCTCTAGTGTGATTACTGGCTCGATTCTACCTCGGACATCACCTCGGTCAATAATCTCCGCAGTGATGAGATTGAGGCTCTTGAGCGACGTACCCGGCATGTAGCGCTCATCAAACACCGCATGCGACGAAATGACCGTCTTCTTGGTGGCCGGGTTGTAGAACAACCAGGCCTTGGTCCCGGGAGGGTACCCCAAGAAGATGCACTTCTGAGAGTGCGGCTCGAGCGCGCGCCGGTGCTTGTCCTTCACCAGGACATAGGCCAGACACCCAAAGACGCGGAAGTAGCCAACATCCGGCGTCTTGCCAGTCCAGGCGACGTGGGGGGTGGTGTCGCCAGGCAGAGCAGAGGTAGGAGCGCGGTTGGCAACGTGGTTGTAGGCGGCTATAGCGTAGGCCCAGAACGAAGGCGGCAGCTTCGCCTCATAGAGCATGGAGCTAGCGCCATTGGCAAGAGTGAGATTAGCACGCTCAGCAACGCCGTTCTGATGCAGCTCATCTGGCTCTGTGATCTCCAACCGCCACCCCTCCTTCAGCGCGGCGTCCTTCATGACGTTGGAGATGTACTCGCCACCCCCATCGCAGCGCAGTACCTCCAAGCGCTGACCGCTCTCCACCTCAGCAGCCGCCTTGAACTGCTGGATGGCAGCCCAAGCGTCGCTCTTGCGCTTCAAATACGCCACCCAGCGCTGCCGCGTCTTGTCGTCTATGAAGGTGATCCAGTAGAGGTTCGCCCCCTCTCTGGATGCGACCGGCATAGGACCCTTTAAGTCAGTGTGAACCAACTCGAGGGGACGCGTTGCGCGCTCTCCCGGACCGCGCGGTACCGCCTTGCGCGTCTGCTTGCCCATGATGCATGGCTCGCAGATCGGGTCCGGCGCTTCCCTGCTCTCAAAACGCATGCCTCGCACCAGCTTGCGCTGCCGCAGCTTCGCAATGTCCCCATGGTTGACGTGCGCAAAGCGGCGATGCCAGAGCGTAGCGTCGAGCGGGAGCGTGGTAGAGGCGGCGCGCTGCGCGCTGTGCGCAGGAGGAACGACGACGTAGCCGTCCAAGTAGCCCGTGTTCGAGTTGTCCACAGTAGCGGTGCAGACGAGCGCCCCAGCGCGGTAGAAGGCGACGCGCTTGTCCTTGATGCTGACCTCGTACCCCTTGTGCGCAGTAAGATGATAGATTGACAGGAGGTTCGAGGTAAGGAGAGGGACATGGAGGACATCAAAGAACACAATAGGCATAAGCGCTTTCTCCCCATCCACCGGCTGGTACTCCACCGACCCGATGCCTGCCGAGTAGACGATCGCGCCGTTCGCTAGGCGAACAGGAACACGATGCGGCGAGTAGGTGACGAACCAATCTCGCCGCGGCGTCATGTGTAGAGACTTACAGTCCTATCTCTGCGCTCGCGCCTTATTGCCGAGCGCCACATATTTCCTCGGCATTTGCCGTGCCCTCCTGCCTAGAGCGGCACATCCGAGTCTTTTCTCTTCCTGACTCGTTTGCTGTCGCTCTAGGTGCGTAGTTATGCGTTGTATCTCGCTACTTGTGAAACTGACTCGTTTGCTGTTGCTCTAGTGTGATCACTGGCTCGATTCTGCCTCGGACAGACGATTCGCGCTGTTGATGCCACGCAGTATCGCGGCGCGGCCGAGTGCGGAGATGCGGCGCGTCAGGCGCGCACTCCACGCCCTACCTCTTTAGTCTCCCCCTTCAACCTCCTCTTCACGCCTACATATGAGTTCCGCAGCTCACGCCTGCTCCACCTATGCCGCTTAACGCGCTAGCCCCCACCCCCTACCGCGCGCCCGATCGGGTACCCGCCCCCCATTCCACCCCTACCACACCCTCCCAGTGCATGCCCACCCCCCTCCTTCACTTCTTACACCTCTCCCCCCTGATCTCTCCCTTCCTCCCTTTTGCCGGCGCTATCCACCCCACGTGCCGCCGCGGAAAATTTTTCGCGCGCGCTGTTTCCAGTTTTCCGCTGTATATTCTCCTGTAGCACAATGTATATAGACTATATATTAATTTTACCTCTGCATAAAGCAGCCAGAGCGACCGGGTGCAGGGAGAACGCGCGTGCGGCACGTTCCGATGTGTCGAGGGCGGGCGCGTGGCCGTCCCACCACCCGATCACGCCATCACGCGCGCACCCCAACGTCGGGAACGGCACACGACGTGCGCATCACGGCCGCGGCGCCGTATAAGGCAGGACAACGGCGGCGCCGGCGTCTCTAGGGCTGGGAGCTCGGCATTTGCCGGGCTTGACAACTGCATCATGTGATTTCAACCCGGAGTATGACAAGTGTCAACTAGGTTTAAACCCGGCTTACAGCATTAGCTGTACGACAAGTGCACGTGAGCGGCCGAGGGCATGCGCATCAACATGTGTGCGATCGCTGCCGGGTGTCAATAGCCGCGCGCACGCACGAGGCACGGCAACACCGCCCATGCGGGCACGCGCAGCACCTGCCCAGGCGCGTAGGGCTCGCCTGAGATGCTCAGGTAGCATGCCCTGGCGACGCGCGCCGCGCAGCGCACGAACGCGGTGCTTGCGCGCGCGCGCGGGATGGGATTTGCAGGCCCGCCCGGTCCGGCAAGCTGCGCGCTTGAGCAGCGAGCACGCAGGTGGCCGATTGGCGTGTCGCCGAGGCCCCTGATCGACGCCGGCGCACCCGACGAGCGCGCGAACATTCCCGGCAATTGCCGGGAACGCGCAGCTCGACGGCGAGCGCGGTGGTGATTTGAGTGACGTGCTCGACGCGATTTGGCATTTGCCGACACGCAAGCGTTCGATCCCGCGGTTGAGCGCGGCACGAGGCGCGTCGTACAGCGAGCAACGGCACAGCGAGGGGGCGTGGGAACGCGCCCGAGCGTGAGGCGGAGGTGGCGGGGCAGGCCGAGGTGTCAGAAGGCACGCACGCGACGCGTTGGGATTGCGAGCGGCACGGGTACGGCGTCGGGGAGCGCGCATCGGGGGCGACGACGAGCAGAGGGCGGGCGACGACGAGCGCGACCCGGTGTTTGCCGAGGTGACAACGATGAGCAGCGGTAGGCCAGGACCCCTACGAAGGGCCCTGGCAAGTGTAGTTATAATGTGTAGCTACAATCCACATACTTAGTAGTCCAACCTAGGTATGTGATATGTAGGAACACGGAGCCCTTACGGGCTGGACTGTGTAGTTACATTCATCCTGCCAGTGGTGCAACAGCGGCGGCAGCGGAGCGCGCGCCTCGCGCAAAACGTGCTGCGGGAAATCCCGACCGGCGAGGCTGGGGGGTTGCCTACCGCATAGGGCGAGGGCCGGCGCGTGCCCAGCAACGTCCTGGGGGGCAGTGGCTGTGTGGATAAGACATACGAAGTCTTTTTAACTACGTGAATGATAATAGTCAAGGGTCTTTTAAAGGTTCTTACGGCCACAGGTGCGGGGCCGGGGTGTCCGCATCGTGTAATCGTGTCAGAAGTGCGGGGCACATTGCGCCACACATTTTGTGGTTTGTCCTCTTGGACGTACGTGTGTGTAGCCATGGCCTTTCACTACCTCGTCGTAGGAGACTTGGTACCATGTTAGGCGCGGCAATATTCGAGTCGGGCGTCGATGGCGCAGACGCGGGGACGGCGAGGGAGTTACTTGGCGTGGACGCGGATGGGCCGGAGATTGGTCAAGAGATGAGAAAAAGAGGAATGAATAAGAGAAAATGTCGAGGAGTTGAGAAACGTGCCGAGTCAAAGGAAATACCAAGTCTAAGGTAAGCCTTGTATAGGAGGCGCCTAAGTACTAGAGTCCATGTGGGGTCCATGTGGTAGGTAAGAGAGATAAGAGAAGTAGGCCAAAGAAACGGGTCCTGACAACGAGGCGGCGTGCAACTGGGCGTGGGTCCTTGGATGGAATGTTTGTGCAAGTCATTTTTGTCCTTCTTATACCACCGCTTGAATAGCCCCGTCAATAAAGCAAGTTTCAAAACATTGACCATAGGGGTACCCCAGCTCGCTTCCATCCATGTAAGTACTAGTAACTCAAGTGTAGACTACTGTCATCTATGTGACTTCGGATAGTCAACAGTTGGGGCTACAAGGTATGTCATAGAATCTTACGCTGACTACGGACAGCTACGCTGTATCACATCATGTCCACCCCAAACTATGGGCACTATGCCGGTCAACATAGTAGATTCACACCGCCAACTGCTACCATAGCATCCCATCAGCAAGGTCAAACCCCAATAGTTCAGGGCCTTTTCCTGATGTTCTGAGAAGGAGCTTATGGATGAGCGCTCAGTGCAAGTGAGTGGATCCTGGGATCAGGTTTATTGTGTGGAGAATGAGCTAGGCGATGATTTTGAGAGTCTTGGGCAGGTGGAGGTAGATAATGATTGTGTACAGGCATTAAAAGATGTAGAGTAGGTTTTGTACCATACATATTCTATGGACAAAACCGGAGCCTGGCTAACTTAGGTTTGTGCCTTGTTGGGTACACACCTTATTTAGCGAGTCCACTAATTAAGGCACACCCTAATTAACGCGCGCCCTAATTAGCAAGTGCCCTAATTAGTGCACATCTTATTTAGGGCGCACATTAAGTAGGGCACGTGTTAAATAAGGCATGTGCTAAATACAGTGTGGACTAATTAGTGCATGCGCTAATTAGGGCACTCACTAATTTAGGGCACTCGCTAATTAGGGCACACATTAATTAAGGCAAGCACTAAGTAGGGCATGCACTAATTAGTGGGTGTGCTCAACAGGGCCTGCACTAATTAGGGTGTGCACTATTTAATCTGTCTGTTAATGCATTGCTTATGCAGTGTTTCTCCTGATACAAGGACTTGATCTTAACTGTGATTGCAGAGGCATACTTCACAAGCACATTCAAGATAGATCTCACTGCTTGGCACTAGCACAATCCTAATCTATACACCCCCCCGCGCACAAAATTTGCGGTCCAGTTCGTGATCTCCCTCTCCTTTGTAGAGCCAAGGTTGTGGGCCCTAGGGGGCTTGCTACACAGATAGGTAGTGCTCCCTCAAACGTACCACACGATAGATCCTGTGTCAATGAAGGGCTCAAGAAGCGCGAGAAACATTGACCGTCTCGTGAGCTCTAACTTCATCGAGCCGTATCGAGCCAAGAAATAAGCGCACCACCTCCCCAAGGACTGGAGTAGATAGATGGGTACGATGTGATGGCGTAGTTCTCACTCATAGATATTTCTGATCAGCCATGACTGCATTATGATGGCAGGAACAAAAACCTACTTTTTCTCGATTTATCCATTCCTCAATACGGGGATGGCTATAAAAAGCATGTGATCTATGGGACCGTACCATAAGCATATAGACTCCATGTAAATAACTGGGATATCTGATACTGGGGCCTATCAATGAGCAAGGAACACTTCATAACTCTGACCAGAAAAATCCGAGGTGGCATAAAAAGCCATGCAGAATATTATCAAAGATGTCAGCATACAAGTGGATTGCAGAATTCACAAGAAGAGCAAATGCTCTTGAACAAGTGTTATCACAATGGCTGACATTTGCTCGTTGTAGCCACCTGCAATAGAAGTCAAACCGTGGGAGAAAACACACGTGCCACTTTTGATCATCACGTGTAGTGTCCCTCTTGTGACGCTGATGTACAGTGTACGTCGCGTGGGATAGGGCCGAAGGGGAACTACCCTCACACCCAACAGAACACCAACTCACTCAATATACTGAGGCAGAATATCTATCGGAATTTGAGTCAAGGGTCCCCGACCGGGCCGCAATTTTTTCCATAGCGGGGTGTACTTTTCTGCACAGATTGTCTGATGCATGACAAGTTCTGCATCTATATACAACATCTGAATTGAGGCAGACATGCAAGCAAGCTGTTTTTAAAGGGCAGAGAGAGCTACCACCTGTCCTTTCCACCATCATTGAGGGTATATATGGCAGTAGGAAGGTATATAAGAAGCTAGGAGCAAGTACGCAGGTGCCGCCAAAATAGCGCGTGCCCTGATTAAATAGTGCACGCGCTAATTTTCCCAACCCTCCCCGATCTGCCCCCGCATCTGGGGATGACCTCCCCCCATACATTCAATTCCAGCCCAATCTGAGCGGCTGCCAAATTAGTGATTAAGGATAGCGGTTTTCAGGGCTCTTAGCATACAAATCGCACACATATATATATGCTAAAAGGTCTACATAAGTGGTACCCTGAGGTGCCGGGTGCCCCTTGCCTTCCTCGACGCCCTGGCACGCGTTCATGCGCTGGCAGGTGCGCAGCCTGGCTGCGCGTTGCATGCCGCGCTAGCAGCGCCCATGCCCCCGACAACGGTGAGAGGCTGTTGTTTGGGCTCATTGCTGCCCTTTGACACCCTCCACCCCCCTCTCTCTTCCCCTCCTTATGTTCCCTGCTGCGCACTCGCTCTTGTGCCCGGGCAGCACAACACGCCTCGCATCGGTAAAAAATTTTGCCACCACTTTTTTCGTGCTTTTCTTTCATTTCGCGCATCCCACGTCTATCCTACATACTTTTCATGTACATATTGTATATACATTCTATCTCTGTAGTACCAGCACAGACAAGCGCGATGCAGAGCGGCGGTGGCAGCGGCACACGGCGCGACACCGACACGTTGCACTGATGTGGCTGTGCAGCCGCACCAGCGGCGCATCAATGGCGGGCGGCGCGCGGGAGCCCCGACGACGGTGGCATCATGCGCAACGGCCAACATGTGCAGCACGATTATCCGCAGCAACAAGCCCAGAGGTCGCCTGCCGCATTGGGCGCAGCCCAGCAATGTCCCGGGCAGCTTCCTGTCCGAGGTAGAATCGAGCCAGTGATCACACTAGAGCGACAGCAAACGAGTCAGTAATATATTCAGCAGTACAGAACGCATAACTACGCACCTAGAGCGACAGCAAACGAGTCAGGAAGAGAAAAGACTCGGATGTGCCGCTCTAGGCAGGAGGGACCGGCAAATGCCGAGAAAATATGTGGCGCTCGGCAATAAGGCGCGAGCGCATAAGTAAGACTGTAGGTAAGCGTACAGTACCGGGAAAAAGTCCGTGAAATTGCAGAAAAATACCATAGGCGCTAGAGAGCGCGTAGACACCGATTCCAACACTTCCAGGCGGCTGTGGCTGTGCAAGTAGCACATTCATTAGATTATCAAATGCATGGAATGTTGGGATACAAAGGTGACCTGACCTGGGTTTGAACCAAGGACCTCCACCTCTCGGGGGTGACGCTCTAACCACTGAGCTATCGGGTCTTTAGTTACTGAGGTGCTGATCACCAGTCAACATGGAAGACACTTGTCAGCTACTTTTTAAAACAGTTTACCTGTACAGCTGCTCACGTGTGGATCTCCGAGGTGCGTCAGGCACCGGAGCAGGTTCCTGGCGGCGTTGCTGTGGGGTAATGTCCCTGCGCAGGCGCGGAATTCTGCTTGGAGTCACATCCCAATGTGAGTGTGGCTGATCCGACGGAGGACGATCGTCATCATCACCATCATCATCCTTTTGGGGATGAGGTGGAGCCGGAGGTCCCGGTGGAGGCAGAGCATCATCATCATCATCACCTGGCAAGTCTCCTGGTCCCTGCAGATCTTGTGGATCCACTGGATCATCGTCATGCTGTGGTTCATCACCAACAGGGACGTGTTGACGACAATTCAAATCACTTTCAGGGCAGCGGGGGAACACTTCTTCATCAAACATCGCCTGAGTGGCAACGAAAAGAGATGTGTTAGAGCGCATGAACAAATATCCCTTCACACCATTCGGAATACCCAGGTACATCATCAGCTCCGGTTTGGGCGATAACTTGTTCTGGTATTTCTCCTCAGAGATAAAGACATAAGCAGCACAACCAAAGACCTGGAGATGTGAAATATCTGGTTTCTCCTTGTGGAGTGCTTTGTACGGAGTTTTCCACTTCAAACGCCGGATAGGCGTCCAATTGTAGATCCCTCCTTGGGCACCCAGGAAATGTTGACTTGGGTGTAAATTTTGTTGCTGTCACGAGTTGGTTATTGTTCTGTACAGCTCAACTCTAGCAGTCACTCGGTCACATCACGCGTGCACGCCTTATATACTGAGTAGTCACACTTATACACTCTTTGGTCCGTGCGTTGTCGCCTTCGGTTTGTGTCTGTGTTTGGCGTTGCCGCTAGGCGCGCCAGCCCCTCCAGCTTGCCGCTGAGGGGGGCCTCTGAGGCCCTGCCCGGGGCTTTGTACCAGGTCTGTCGCTTGCCTTTCCCCCTTGCTGCTGCCATCCGACCGCTGGGTCGTATTCGATTATCTACCGCTGACGCTCCTGCTATCCGCAACCTCCTTACCCGTCGGTCACTCCTTGCATCCACTTCTGATAGTTGCATTGCCTGGTGTGTTATTTCCACAAAATCTGACACGATTATCTGGCAGACATGTCTGATCATTGCCAGATTAATCTACTAGCTATACTACAGATTATTCTGGCACTATATACCCTACCAGACAATTCTGGCCCAGAATTATCAGGAGCTTCTCTTGCTATCCAGAGTTTTCGGAGTCAGCTCAGATTTGTCTGGTGTTGCTCATCTATCCTGATATCTCTGGCAGTGATATCATCCAGAATTATCGGATGGGTTTCCATGGAGGGTCCAGATAGTTCTGCTCATCAGGCATTGTCCCGATAATCCTGAATACATCAACACCCGACAAGTCTGGTGTCAGCGTTGTCTGGTCATCTCAAACAAGCCTGGTATACCCAGACATCTCTGACCCTACAAAGCACCAGGGCAGAGCTAACTGAATCAGCACAAAAGGATTTAATTGACTATAGAATTACAAGTAGACTGTAATCTAAGAAAAGAGGAAAGATGTTACCTTATGCCACCCCGATAAGTCCCTATCTGCCATGCAGTGCGTGATGAGGGTACCGGGGTGGGGTAGTACATATGACACCTGTAAAAGTCGGTGATACCATCACCCAGCATATGGTGAGGGTATCCCGATGTGATAGGGGCAGGAAGACATACCCACCTCAGTAGAAGGAAAGGGGCGACTTGACGACGGGCAAAATCTGCACATGAATTAGCGCACTGGCCTTGGGGGAAGGGGCGGGGCGTACCGAGGTAGGTAGCCAAGTAGAAGGCACGTGTGTGCACGCGTGACGTCCAGGGTACACGTCGCAGCGACCTAAGCAAAGAATGGATTGGTGAGTGAGAAAATGCGCGAAAAGGTGCGGGTGACGCACCAAACTCAACGCGCACGCAAGCGCGCAAACGTCGGCTATGCTGACAAATGCGCTACACATGTCGGAAGCGATGTCTTTGCGCGCAGGCGGATAGCGCGCTCGCACGTGTTATGCGCATCAGCCGGCGTCGATAGGTGGGTCAGGCGCGTTAGAGTGTGCCGCTGCTGTATGGCGGTCATGGTCCGACGACTCGGGTACGCGCTGGGGTACCTAAGATGAGGAACGGGTTAGTGAGAACGCGCAAAAACATGCGGACAATGCACCAGGTGCAAAACAACCACATCGCTGGCTATGCAGTTGAACCCGCTAGTTGGACGCGATGTCGTTCCGCGCAGGCAGCGAGTGCACGCTCCCACGCGTTATGCGCCTCGACCGGCGTTGCTAGACGTGCCAGGCGGGCTGGGGCGCTCTGCTGGCTGTCTTCTTTGCGAGCGGTGCGCGCTGGTCACGGCACGACGACGTGTCATCGTCGCACGCGGGAAGGAAGGCGGCGTGGGCGGTCATGGCGTCAGCTGCGCCGCGGTGACGGCGAGCTGGAGAGGCGGCGACGAGAAGGGGAGGCGGCGTCGGCAGCGGCAGGCGAGTGGCGGCGGCGACGAGAGCGAGCAGGGAAGACGAAGAGGAGAAGGAAAGCACGAGAAGGTGACGCGTCAGCGCTCCGGGACGCGGTCCGATCGGGCCAGCCACATGCTCGGCCTGGTTTGCTCCGACTTTGCGCAATTTTCGTGAAGTTCCAACTTGCGCTTCTCCGCCTCCTCTCCTCGTCCGCCTCTTGCCCGTCCGCCGCCGCCTCCCCTCCTCCCCTCCTCCCCTTCTCCGCACCCACGCAGCTGCCGCTGCCAACGCCGCTGCCGCCTTCCTTCCCACGCGCGATGATGACGTGTCATCGCGCCGTGACCAGCGCGTGTGGAGACCTGGGGCTCCGGGAGGGTTCACTCACGGAGGCGTAAAGCGTCGACGCGGAGTGGTCGCCTGCTGGTGAGGCAATACGGGAGGTCACCGGCAATCCTGGATTCCTCGACCGTATCTACGGAGGCGGTACAAGCCTGCCAACCGTTCTCTTAGCTGCGAGGCCTCCGGCCGAGCTGCGAGGGAAAAGCAAGATGATGGTAAGAAGTGTGTCGTCATTCGTGTGTCTGAGACTACAAGTACAAGGTGTTACGTAGTAGAGCACGCGCGATCACGGGGGTCGCGCGTGCCGTTGTGGCTCGTAGAAATGATAAAAGTACAATGGGAATCATAATCAGTACGCCCACCCCCGCGGAGTCTCGACGAGGATGCTCGTGATACCGGGTTCTCCACAAAGCCCCCCCTTCTGAGTCGAGACGTGCTTACTCGTACAGACACGCGGGGCGCAGCTGCTCTCCCAGATCCGCAATACGCACAAATCGGCGGTCGCCGCCGTAGACGCGCTGGAAGTACTCCGCCCAAGCTTCAGCGTTGGCGACGCTCAAAGCTTCGCTCTTGCGGAAGCCGGAACCGAGGTTGCTGCGGCTCCGGTTTCGCAAGCGGTCCCTCCAGGCGGACTCCATGGGTATCTCGGCCTCGCCCCGCTCAAAGGCCACGGCGAGCTCCAGCATGTACTTGTTCTCCTCGACGCCCCATTCGCCTCGTGTCGGCCACTGCGAGGCCCAGGAATTCTTCGGCGGGAAGGCGTAGCGGTAACTTATCGCTTCCCCGTTTTGCTGCGCGATGATGCATCCGTGCGCGTAGGCGATCTCGGGTGACGAGACTTCGTCGGTGAACAACGCCGGTAGGGGGGCCGCGGGCCAGTACTTATCGCCGCTGCGATGCACTCGGGCGTCCTCGCTCGGTCCGTTACCTACGACTGGTCCGATAATGTCCCATGCCCAACGGCGTAGCACATAGCTCGCGATGTCGCTGGAGAAGTACAACGCGGCTGCATTCGGTCTGCGCGCGAGAGATCGCAGTCCGTCCCTCCAGGTGTTGAACAGAGTCGTGCCTCCTGTGCCATACGGCACGAAGGCCACCGAATGTGATTCCTCATCCGCTATTGGGCGGTCTTGATCGCTGGTCGGGTACATCGACTGCGGGAACGCGATGGCGAGAGGAATGCCCGCGTTGGCAAGGCGCTTGAGGAAGTCCTCAGAGCGAGTGCGCCGATTCTTGATGCGAAGCGCGTACACGCGGACTTGGTGTTGCGGGTGCAGGAGGACCAGATACGCGTGCTGTATCACCCGGTCCGCCCACCGGATGCGTCCCTCCACGTCCGCGGCGCGCGGCAGAATCGGCGCTGAGAGTACCGTGAGCAGCTGGTCGGCCTCGCGAATGTGCTGCGCCACTCGCGCCCCCCAGTTGTGGGCTGCTGGCGTTACCAATCCCCAGCGTGTCGAAGGGTCTGGCAAGCGTGGGGTGTAGTCTCGAGCCGAGGACAACCCGGCTGCCGAGGACGCTGTTGACGTCGAGCGCCGTACCCGAGGCGGCGACGCGCTACGCGACTCCGGGGATCTTCTCCTCGCCTGCGACGTAGTTCTTGACGAAGCGGCACCTCGCGCACGCCCTCGGCTCCGCGAAGATCCCGCGCTGTTAGCCCTGACGGATGCCGCGACAGCGGGCCCCATCCTTTCTGCCAGCGATCGTTGGTCGGGAAGAGGTTCCATCCTCTGAAGAAGACTCGGTCGCTCGTCCCTCTCCTCGGGGATCGCCACCTCGTCTCCATCCACGGCGAAGTAGCCGGTGAGAGGTAAGTTGGGGACGGGCTGCCCTTCCGTGCGGCTATCGTAGCTCAAGGTCAGCATCCGGCGCTCCTCGTCGTCCCACATCTCCTTGTACGACTGCTCGACTGGTTCTCCGATGCAGTCCACGAGCATCTGCAGCTCGACTTGCTCGGCGATACTATCGGTTCCCCAGCGGTGGTGCTCCAGCATCTGGTGCGGCAGTGGGGCGCACGTGAGTCGCCTCAGCTCCCTCCCATGGAAAAAGGTGCCCCTCCGAGTCCAGGCGGGCGTCTCGAAAATCTCCCAGTCCTCCAGCTCGTCGTCTTCGATCCAGTTGGCTCCCTTTCGTGCCCAGCGATAGATGTACGTCCAAGCCGTCCGGGCGTCCTCGCTCAGATAGACGCCAGCGGGGTCCTTCGCCTCGTACGCCTGCAACGCACGCTGTATGATCGCCTCGTCCTTCAAGTCGTGCTCGTGCCAGCCCCGGAAGAACTGCACGGCGTGGCGTGTATCGGGGTTTGGCCATGGGTCTTCCCCTTCTGGAAGAGCATTCCTTGGTTGAAAGAAGCGATCGTATCCCAGGACAGTGCGAGCGCGGCCTTGACCGTCCAGGACCTCTTCATCGGTGGGTTCCCTGCCGAGTTGACGCTTCATCTCCAGCACGCGGGCGATGAGCCAGGGATTGGTACGCATGAACCGGCTGTTGAGGTGCAAGCAGGGGGACCAGAGGTAATGAAAAGGGACTTCGTGTTCGATGAGCAGCTGGAGGTCGAGCCAGCAGTAGTCGGTGGGAAGATTGATGATATAGCCGCGCATCTCGCGCTCTTCTAGTCGCAGCGACCGTATAAAGTCCGCCGTTTCCTGGTCGATGCCCTCCGCCCAACTGCCAACGACGTGCGTGAACCAGGCGAGAAAGCTAACATTCGCGAGGACCTGCGCGCGCGGGGTCTTGGTGGTCGCGAGCGCCTCCGATCGGAGCCGGAAGGTCTTGTGCAGCAGCTCGGTGTCCAGGCGGAAGGGTGTGAAGCTGACCTGCGACGCCCCCTCCACTCGATAGAAGATCTCTTCGGCGGCGCAGATCAATCTCCTGAACGCGCTCTCCGCCTTGACCGCGAGCTCCCCGATGCTTATCTGCCATAGCTTCGAGATGCGGTAGTCGCCTCCTCCCGTCGTCAGAAGATCGTCGTCCATGGGCTTCCGGATGGCCACTGCGAGAGGGTCTTGTCCGTTGAGCAATGAGTTGGGCATGTACCCTTCCCAGGGGATCCCGGGGTTGAAGAATGCTAACTTGATGGACGGTCCTCGCAGACGGTACGGTACGTGTCGTTCGCCGGGGTCTATCGCGTCCAGCGCCGCGGGTTCAGCGTTGACCGATCCCCATTGCCGGTTGTGCTTCACGCTCGCGGCGAACAGCGGGAATCTCGCAGCATTGGGTCGCAGGAGAAAAGACACCATGGTCGTCGATTCGCGGGACCGGCAATCCTGGTCACCACTAGTCGTCGATACAGGCTCAACGCGGGCGGTCCTCGCGCTGAGCTTCCGCTGACGGGGGGTCGAGAGGGAAGGAGAGCGTGGGCGATCGATTCCTGGTTGATAAGTTACTAGCGCGAGTCGTGATAAATAGAAGTTCTTTCCCATGCCATATACACATCCCCTTCGGGCTTCCTGTTGTCGTTCGGCCATGGTAGGGGTCGAAGCCTTCCACCATGCGGCCTGCCTTGCGCCCGCTACAACCTGTGCTCCTTCTTGTACGCAACGAGGTCATCTGGCGCGTTGCGCAGGTCCTTCTCGACTTGCCATGTGTCGTAATGCGGTCCAAATCCTTTCCATCGCACCAAGTACTCTCGCTTTCTCTTGCGCTTATTCCATCGGTGTTGAAGGATTTGACCCACCTTGTACTCGTCGGAAGGCAGCTGATCTGGCCTGGTGGTCGGGAGCTTGGTCCGTCGTTCTTCCACGCTCGTGTGCCCCTCGTGATACGGCTTCAGGTGCTCGAAGTTGATGATGGGAAGCCCGGGGTACCGGTCGTCCATGCGCAGCCGATACACATTTGGATTGATCCTCTGCTGGATCTCGAACGGTCCTATCCAGCGCTGGCGTAGCTTGGGCTTGTTCTTGGCTTCCGCCCACTCCAGCGAGTGCGGGTTGACGAGCACTTTGTCTCCCTTCTTGAACTCGGGGACGGGCTTCCGACCTTGATTATAGTAGCGCGCCTGCTCGTCCTGCGCCGCCGCTATGGCGTCTCGAGCCTGATCTCTCCGCATCCGGATTTCTTCCAAGAACTTTTGCGCTTCCGGGACCCTTTGTGCAGACTGCGTGAGACGGTCGTTGTTGTTCCAGAAGGAAAGCGGTGAGCGGGGGTGATATCCCATCAGCAGGTTGAATGGGGTCTCGCCCGTGGAGCGGTGCACGGTGGCGTTGTAGGCGAATTTAAGTAGCGGCAGGAAGTCGGCCCATCTGGACATGTCCTGCGCGACGTACGCCCTTAGCATGGTCTCCATGAAGCGATTTACTATCTCTGTCTGCCCGTCCGTCTGCGCGTGATGAGCCGTGGACATCAGGAGGTCCGTCTTGAGCTCTTTTGCGACCTGTTCCCAGAATTCTGATGTCCACTTGGGGTCCTGGTCCGAGACTATGCTCGCGGGTACTCCGTATCGCGTCGCTACGTGCTTGACGAACAGCTTGGCTGCCTCTATGCGGTTGATGTCGGTCCAGCTAATGCTGTAAGCCTGGTTTAAACCCAGCCCTATACTAACGTACTGTGGGTTGAAACCCCACGATGCGGTTGTCGGGCCCGGCAAATGCCGAGCTCCTAGCCGCCAGAGGCGCCGGCGCCGTCGGGCAGCTGCCTTATCCGGCGCCGCAGCCGTGATGCGCTCGCCACGCGCCCATCCCGACGTCGGCGGCGCGTGGTGGCGTGATCGGGTGGCGGAACGGCCGCGCGCGCCCCCGCCCCCCGGACACGTGGCATGCGTTGACGCATCCCTGCGCATTCCCCGCGCATCCTAGCTTCATAGTAAATGTATATAGATCTATATAATGTATAAAAAATGATGCTGTGAGGTATATGAGTGTGATATGAGGGAAACACGCGCGCGAGAAAATTTTCGCGGCGGCGGCACGTGGGCTGGCGATGAGCACGGCATGGGGGAGGGATAAGGGGAGGTAGGGAAAGGGGAGAGAGCAGGGAGAGCAAGGGGAGAGGGGAGGTGGGATGAGGGGTGAGGGGGTGTGGTCACGCCCTAGGTGAGTCCAGGAGGGGTGGGGAGCGCGATCGGGAGCGCTAGGGTGGGGGACTTGCGGGTTAAGCGCTATGGATAGTGCGCCCGAGCGCCACTGAGCGCATATGGGGAGCAGGACGCGAAGGGAGGGCGAGGAGGAGGGCAAGGAGGGGGGGAGGTGGGGGCGAAACACGTGCAAATGCGCGCTGCCGCGCCCTCACGCGGGATGACGTTGAGGGCGTGTTGTACGGCTGGCGTGTTGCGACCGCGTGAGGGGAGCGGGTAGGCGCAGTGGAGCGCAGTAGATAGTAACAAAGCGGCGCACTTCCGCCTGAAGTGCGCGCCGTATCGCGTGAGGGAGTGGAGGGAGAGGAGGGGGGTGGACCACTGCCGCTGCCGTTGCTAGGGCGCGGCTTTCGCCCGGGTCCGCGTTATCGGTGGGGGGATGAGAGGGGGTTGCTGGCTTGAGGGCACGGGGGCGATAGAGTGAAGCACCGCTCCTCAACGCATGCGCTGAGGAGCGGCGCTGTATATCATTATCAGCACGGTTTTGTGTGTATTATATATTGAGACGTACCTTGGGGGGCTTGTATAGAGCCCCCCTTCCTTCTTCCTTTTCCTTGCGTCTCTAAGGGAGGCCATTGGGCCGTCGATCGAGGGAGGAGGGGTGGGAGGTGGGAGGTGGGGGTGGGATCAGCGGCACGATCACCACGATCGCCGCTGATTTCTTCTGCCGCGTGAGAGGGAATGAGAGAGAAGGGAAGGGTAAAGAAGTAGGGGGAGATGAGAGGGGGAGCGAGCAGCGGCGAGGAAAGGTGGAGGAAGGGGAAGCGGTGGCGGGGGTAATGTCACAATTTGGGACCGTTACCTAACGATTTGGGACCGCAAAGCACCGCCGCCCCCAGTCTCGGCGATACCCGCAGCGCGAACAGTAAAGCCTTCGGCTTCCAAAGCTCGCGGGATTTCGACCGAGAGGGTATATGTAGGGTAATATGAAGTCAAACCAGTATTGGCGATTCATTGTGGTTTTATACATGCTCATTTTACACTGAAGACCGCTCCTTCGAGTGGGATGTACACTGTGCATCTCGATGCTCGTTGTCAAGGATCCAGACGTCCGAGCTCCTTCAAACTTTCTGTAAACGGTGTAGGACGCACTACTGACTACTTATATGTCATTATATTCCGAAGGGGGGCCTCCAGTCAAGTACAAACTCGAAAAGAGTGTGATTTCAGGCGCCTTGGTGCATTCTTTGTGTATTTAGTGCACCTTGCAGTCCTCCTACTGTTTCCAAACTTCATGCCATTGCTCATATACTACTAATGTACGCTAATATACGTTTTTGAAGCGCGAGACCAGGTGGATGACTCGCGGATGGCGGGGAACCGCGCGCGAACGCGTCGTCTTTGACGCGACGCGTGACGTGACATAACGCGTTCCGCTTTCCTTCACACCACCACGAACACCCCCGCCGTCCATCGGCCAAAGCCCAACGGCTGCACAGCAACGCGCGCAAACGAGGAGGAGGGGACGGGGGGCTAGTATTAGCCCCCCAAAGGTGCGTTCTAATGTCTTAAAACGAAGTGATCTTGCTAACGAAAAATTTCAGCGCCGCTCGCGATGGCGAACGGCGCTGTTTCCCGCCGTACGCCGGTCCCACCCGCGCCCAAAGGCGCCGCACCACCTCCCTCTACCTCCTCCCCACTGCCGACAACCGCGGACGCCCCCTGCCCCTCGCACGGAGATGAGGGAGACGGACCGGCCGACCCCGCATCCCCCCCAACCCCCTGCCCCCTTCGCGACGCTATCGCGTGTGCGGCGTACTGCTTAACAGCAGTACGCTTAGCGTGCGGTAGTCTCGTACATCGCGCGCAAGCAACGCCACGCGCTGCCCGTCGTCCACGCCACCTGGCGAAACGGCGTGGCAACGCGCGCGAGTTCAAATCGTCGCGCGCCCTTCCCCCTCCCCCTCCTCCTCCCCTCCTTCCCTTCGTCCTTCCCCGCCCTCTACCCTCGCGCCCACATCCCATGCCTTCGCAGAGCGAGGCTGGGGAGGGGCGAGGGTGAGGGCGGGAAGGACGAAGGGAGGGAGGGGAAGAGGAGGGGAGGGGAGGGGAGGAATACTGCGTGCTCCCACCTCGGGAGCACGTAGCCCTACTGCGATGCGGTTGCATCGTGCGTACGGTCGCGCTACCAGGGGTGGGTAACCCCGCACTACCCACCGCAATGGACGACCGGCACCGCCTACCCCCCATTCCGCATCACCCCCTCTCGCGCGCGCGAGCGTGATGAGAAGGGGGCTATCATGCGCCCCACTCCCCTCTCCCTCCCTGTCTCTCCTCCCCCTGTCCCTTCTCCCCGAGCCTGCTCCCTGCGTATCCGCCGCTATGCGTGCGGTGCGCTTTTACATGTATTTTAGGTATATAATATACTTATATTACGCCTTTCCGTTACGTTCGAGTGAGAGGGATAGGAAAACGCGCGCGGCGAGCCCCGACGCGGCGAGGGCGCGCGCGCGACACGTCGTGACGCGCCATCACGCCATCACGCGCCGCCCCGACGTCGGGAAGGGCACGCGACGCGCGCATCACGGCCGCGGCACCGGATAAGGCAGCCGCCCGACGGCGCCGGCGCCTCTGGCGGCTAGGAGCTCGGCATTTGCCGGGTCCGACAACCGCATCGTGGGATTTCAACCCGCAGTACGTCAGTAGAGGGTCGGGTTTAAACCCAGCCTACTGCACAAGGTGGTCGGTCTTGGTGGGGATGAACTGAGCGTGCTTCGTGAGTCGGTCTACCACCACCAGAATCGTGTCGTATCCTTCCGACTCTGGCAGCTTGACCACAAAGTCCATGGAGATAGACTCGTAGGGAGACGCCGGTATCGGATTCGGTATGAGGGTGCCGTACTTGCTGAACGACGCGTACTTGACCTTTTGGCAGACATCGCACGTGAGTATGAACTTTTCTATCGTGCTCTTCATTTTCCTCCAGATGAAGCGCGGGTGCAGCTTCCCCCATAGCTTCGCCAGTCCTGCGTGCGCCGTCTCCATCGGGTCTTCATGCGCCCGGAGCAAGACTTCGTCCCTGAGTGCGTCTGGGACGCATAATCGCGGAAGATAGTCTGCATCCAGGAAGAAGAGCAACCCGTTCTCCGACTTGTAGTATCTCCTCCCCGGGGTCCACGCGCTCGAGACGGTGTCGGCTTCCTCGTAGCGCCTTCTCCAGTAGGGTTCCGCTTGATACGCCTCCCTAAACCTTGTCGCCATCTCTGGACTGATGTGTGACACCAGCGCTGGCGGCTTCCTGAAAGTCGGCTCGTACGCCGGCCTCTGCGCTGCTTGCTCCAGCTCGTGGTCGTCCTCCTCCTCCTCGGGGTTGAGGCGTTCGTCTGGGGCTTGCGCGTCTGCCAGCGGCTGCTCCTCTCTCTGCGCTGGGACTACGTCCGGAGGCTCCTCCTTCTGCGCTGCCGCTTCCTCCGCCCCCCGGCGCGCTAGGCGCGGCGAACGCCTCGTCGGTGCCGCGTATGCTTGTGGCGTGTCCTCGACGTAGCTGCTGAGTGACAGCCCTACGAATGCGCGTTCAGCCTTCTCCCGCGAGCTCATCTCTTCCCGCAGTGCGGCTGTCGCGGAGTCCGTTCGTAATGGGGGAGTCGCCGGCGGTCTGGGTGTGACGTAGGGAGGAGGGTCTCTAGGAATTCTTGACAGCGGGTCAACGTTTGAATGTACCCGTCCTGCGCGGTGTATAATCTCCATGCCCGGCATATACGAAGAGAAGACCGCCCCCCAGGTTGCCAGCCTTCTGTTGCTGTTCTCGTAGGTCCTCGCCCACTGCAGCGCGCTGTGGTCCGTGATTAAGAGGATTGATGACCCCTCCAAGTAAGGCTGGAACTTGATAAGTCCCTCCTTAGCGGCGAGAGCCTCCCGCTCGGTCGTGCTATAGCGCGCCTCGGCGCCCTTGAAAGTACGCGACCAGTACACTATGACCCTCTCGACGTGCACCGTCGACTCGTCCAGTGTTGCCCCCCACTCGTCGCGCTCCGGGGCGTCCTACGTCCGGTTTGAGGCTCGCGTCACAAATCGCGGCACGGGCTGCCCTTTGATATACGCCTCCTTCAGCTTCTCGTACGCCGCCGTCCCTTTGAGGTCTCCCACTCGTATTGGTTGGACTTGCTGCAGAGCGCAACCGAGCGCGTTGTCCAATGCGTCTGTGTATAAGCGATAAGGCCGCCCCTCCATCGGGTGCCCGAGGACCGGCGCGCGCTGGAGCGCTTTCTTTGCCTGCAAGAATGCGTATTCTTGCTCTGCCCCCCAGCGCCAATGCTTGCCCTTGCGTAGCAGCTCGTGCAGTGGCCCGCAGACGTCCGAGTAGTAAGGGATGAAAGTGTTGAAGTAGACCAGCATCCCGAGGAACGTCTGCAGCTCCGAGACGGTGTTGGGGCGTTTCATTTCCAGCACGGCTTTGACTTTCTCGTAGTGCGTCGAGAGCCCCAGCCGCGAGACCTTGTGACCGAGCAGGACGATGGAGTTGTAGAAGAGGTGGCACTTTTGCGGGGAAAGCGTGATGTTTGCCTCTTCGATCGCTCCGAGGACCTTGTCCAAGTGCTCTATGTGCTCCTCGAACGAGCGCGAGTACACGACGATATCGTCTATGTACACGAGGGCGAACAGCCAGAGGTAGGGCGCTAGCACTGATTGCATGACTCTCTGGAAAATTGACGGCCCATTTCGCAGGCCAAAAGGCATCCTCCTGAACTGGAATAGACCTCGGTGTGTTCGGAAGGAGGTTTTTTTGACATCATTCGGATCCAGGCGGAGCTGCGTGAACCCTGACAGCGCGTCGAGGGACGATAGGACTTGCGAGCCTGCTAGCGACGCGAGTATCTCTTGTTGTCGGGGAATAGGGAACTCGTCTGGAATAGTTACCGCGTTGAGTCGCCGATAGTCTACGCAGAATCTGGGCTTCCCGTTCCTATAAGCTATCACCACTGGCGCGCTCCACGGACTTCTCGATGCCTCGATGACTCCCTGCTCGAACCATTTGTCGATCTGTTCGTCCATAACCGCTTTCTTCGCCGGCGAAGAGCCCCGCATCGGGGTCGCTATCGGTTCCACGCCCTCCTCGGTGCGTATCTTGGCCATCGCGGGGTGATTTCCTAACCTGCCGTCCAGGGCGAACGCGCCCTTCCGCCTTTCCAGCATTTCCCAGGCGGCGCCCTTCAAGTGCTCGGGGAGGACGCCCACATCCAAGGTGCGCCTGAATTCCTCCGCGGTTATGTCCCTTGTGTCGGGCATTTCGGCTGTCTTGGGTCCTACCCCTCCTTCCTCATCTTCGTCGCCCTCGCCTTCAGCTTCCCTCTGCTTCGCAAACAAGCTCTTCCAGGACTCGTACGTCCTCGCGTCCGGCATTGGGAACGATCTTCGCCCTTCCTTCCACGCCTCATAATTCTGCATTTCCGGCATGTGGAACCGCGCCTTCGCTTTCTCGTGGGCTGGCTGCTTTGACTTGTCGTTCGGCCGTTCGCTTTGGCGCTGTTCCAGGTCCTCCTTCACTGCGCAAGCCGTGCTCAGGAAGGCTGCGTGCTTGCTGTACCGATCGCGTTCCTCTTGACTTCGCGGTGTGTCGAAGAATTCTTCACTGCGATGAGCCGTTCCCAGCGCCTCTCCTACCCGTATGCGCCGCGGAACGGTTGCCAAGTTCGCAACTGGCACAAACGGCGCGCTCGCGTTGACGAGCGTATTAGGGACGATGAAGGGCTGATCCGACGCCGCCGCGATCATTTCCTTCTCGACAATCCAATCTCCCTCCGCGTCAAATGGCCCATTGACCTTGACTTTCGACACGGATTCAGGCTTGATAACCACGTCTTCGGCGGCGCGGATGACACGGTCTTCCTGGTCAGCTCTCTTCTTCTTGTCCTTGAAGGCGCGTTGGTAGCGGTGTCTCGCTGCCTTCTTCAGGAAGCTGTGCGTTGGCTTCTCTCCTACGTAGGCCTTCTCGACGTTCTGCACTTCCTTTCGCACCTCCTTGTCGCGGGATGCTTGCTGCGCGGTCTTGGTGTACTGCCCATTGCCGAACATGACCACTGTCCCCTCCTCGAGGCTGCGGCGAACCGACACTTCATATGCCTGCTGGAAGTCTTCGCCCAGGAGGACCGGGACGGTCATCCCCTCCACGACGTACATGCGCACGATCATCCTTACTAGCGTCCCGTCGTCCATACGGATGACCACCGGCATCATCACGTATCCTCGTATTGATACTGATTTATCCGTCAGCTGCCAGAGCTTCATCTTCGCGCCTTGGTGTAGTTTCGGTTTATCCTTCATCGCGTCGTAAGTCTCCCCGCTGACCAAGGAGATGCTGGCGCAGGAGTCGAGGTGTTCGTCGATCTCATCCTCGTGTTCCGACCCCAAGTGCCCTCGCACGCTGAGAACTGATGAGCCGACTCCCTCCGCCTTCTTCTTGTCTATCCTCGGAGTCAGGTGCACCTTCCAAGGCTCGTACGGTCGGGGAGTTTCTCCGCTATCGTCGGGCGGCCTGTCCGTGGGCTCGACGGGCTGCGCCTCCCATTCGGCGCTGTATACCTCATCGACTGCTCCCGTTCTGGTCGGCTGCTCCGAGTCCTCCTCGTAGATGCTCTCAAGGATATAAGGTGAGTCCGCGGGCAGCAGCTCTCCCTCGTACCAATAGTCATCCTCAATTTCCTCTATTCGGGAGACGAAGCTTTGCGCTGTGACCACGAACACCGTCTCCTTCTCGCTAGCTCCTTCTGTCCCCCCCCCGCTCATTGTCCTCCGTCGCCCTCTCTTTCTGGGACTTATGCTCCTGCTCGATCGTCTCCTCGCGATCTTCGGATGCCGCCCACTCAAAACCCTGTCCGCTCAGATAATAGGCAACGTTGTAGGCTCGCTCGGCTTCTGAATCCTCGGTGTCGACCAAGAAACCCTCTTTGACTCGGTCGCGTTGATATTCCTGCCAATGAGGGCAGTCTTGGTTCCAGTGATAGGGACTGCCGCACGGCCTGCAGGGCGAGGGCGGTTTCTTCTTAGATCTAACGTCGTTGCGCGGGGCGTACTTCCTCGTCGGGGGAGGTCTGGCCTTGTCCCTTGCCGAGGCTACGCTGTAGGCCATGGCGAGCATGTCTCCGGCCAGACGGTCCTCGTCCGGCGACTCTGCTCCCTCCCCGCTTTCCTCTACTTCGGCGTCAAAAGCGGACGCGGAGCGCTTGGGGAAGAAGCGCAGCCTCGCCGAGGGAGAGGCGGCGTACCCAATCTCCTTCATGACCGCCGCAACTTGGGACCTTAGGTCATTCCCCGACGAGCGAGACGCGTTAGTCAACTCGTTCTCAAACTGCAGCACGCGGCTCGACAGCTCGTCCGTGCTCCTGATTGAGGAGGGGACGAGGATTATTCCCCAGCTGGGAGGCGCCACGCCGAGGATCATCTTCACCTCCTCCTTGGAATTCATCGGTGCAAAAGCGAGCGCGCGGCAGGCGATGATGCACCTGTAGATGAACTGGCTCGGCGTCTCGTGGCGATGCTTTGGCTCACGGAAAGACTGGAACTGGTATTCGGTGGCCAGGTCGCGAATCCACTTTGGTCCTAGATAATCGCGCTGTATTACCCCCAGAAATTGATGCGCGCTCTTCTTCATATATCCCTTCAGCGAGTCGGACAGCGTCATGTACCACTGCCATACGGGCGAGCCGCGCTCTAGCCTCGTCCAGATCCAGAAGCCCACTGCTTGGTTCAAGTAGCCCCCGCTGTTGGCGTACTCGTACACGGACACCAAGAACTCCGTCGCAGTCGATTTATCCCTGTTCCAGGCGGGGAGCTGGTCGGGTTTGATGCTAGACTGGACGGTAGGGGCGACGGTCCCGAATGGAATCAAAGGCGGCTCCTCGTTCAAGTCCACGACGTCGTCCTCCGAGCTCGAGCTATCATCATCGTCGTCGCAGTCATCGTCGTTGTCGTCGTCGTCGGAGGGCAGCTCGTCTCCGGGCTGAGTCTTGAAGTGCGGCGCCGGGTCGTGGTGGTCGTCCCCGCCGCGCTTTGCTGACCCGCTCGACCTTTTTTCGCCCTCCTTCTCGTCATCCCGCTCGCGGCCGCCCTTTTCCCTCTTGCGCCGCTTGGAGCGTGCTCGTTTCTTCTTTGATCCGCCTCCCGTGGATGCCGACTCCGCTGCGAGCATCTGCTGCCGGGTCTTGCGACTCGCCAGTGACCCGAACATGAGATCGACCCCCCCGCTTGCGAAGTGGAATCCCGCTCGCGCCAGTTCTTCGAGTCAGACTCCTTCTTCTTCGACTTTTTGGATGTACTCGCCGCTTCGCGCACGGAGGGATCCTCCTTGCTCTGCTTCGCGAACTTCAGCCCCTTCTTCTTTTCCTCGTACTGGGCTTGCGAGGTCGCCTTCGGCTCGGCAGCGGAGCTCTGCTTCAACCAGCTCCAAGTCTCGTACGGCTTCCCGAAAGGGCGATCCTTCATGGCGTCCCCGTCGTAGTACCTCGCGACTGGGTCCCTCTCCAGCAGACGTAGCGGAAAGGCCCTAGCAAGCGGCGACAGCGGTGGCGCAATTGATTCCGCAGATTTGAAGAGAAGGCACCTCCTTTCGAGCGTCGAGGCCTCCTTGTTCCCTTCATCGTACCCTGGTACCGACCCTAGCAGGAATCGCAGCTGTTGCTCGGGGCTGCCTACGCCTGGGAGGTCGCGATACACCGACCCGGGCGCCGTGAGAGGTGACAGAGGCGGGGGAGTCTCGCCCGCGATGTGCTTCTCGATACGCGTGCGGTACTTGCGGTACACGCTCAGTGCTTGTGAACATCGCCGATTGAACGCCGTCCAGGCTAGGTTTAATCCTGCGAGCGTGTCGCAGCCCCCCAAGTTACTTCTGAGGACGCCGCGCGCGTCAAAATCCCAGCGCGGCCCTTTGTCCGCCGAGTCCTCCATTGTCGCAGAAGCCATAGAGGAGAGGACGTCTTGTGTGAGGGAAATGACTAGGTCGACGAGGTCGAGGAGCTCGGGGCGCAAGGAAAAGCGCTTGAATCGTTTATCGGCTGGAACCCCGCGGTCGACGATATCTTCCGCGTTCAGGAGGCGATGGTTAATCATCCAATCCAATCTCTTCCTTCCCGTGTCGAAGGTCGGTGGCAGGCCCTCGTCGTCTGCCTGCGGCGTGTTGAATTGCTCGAATGCCTGATCCAGGACGTAACGCCTGGACATGCGGTCGTCCTTCTCTGCGTCGCCAGGCGAAGTGGAGCGTCCTTGAGTCTCATCGCCACGCGGCGCCTCCCCGACCCCTCCCGAGTCCTCGCCCGCTCGGCTGGCGCTTGACATGAGGCTGCTTCCGGGCGGACTCGGTATCGAGCGATGTTCGTGTTCAAATGCTACTGCGCGCGCAGAGTCTCCGTCTGAGGCAGCGGCTAGCAGCAGAGGCTCGTAGCGTGGGGTAGGTGGAGGCGAAAAATATAAGCACGAGGCGGAAGGGTCGAAAAACTCACCTCGCCGTGGAAATGTTATGGACGAAGTCCTGTTGAGCCTAGGGCTCTGGGCTGGTGGCCCTTCGTCTCCGTGAGACCCCTTAACGTCCACTCTGTGGAGACCTGGGGCTCCGGGAGGGTTCACTCACGGAGGCGTAAAGCGTCGACGCGGAGTGGTCGCCTGCTGGCGAGGCAATACGGGAGGTCACCGGCAATCCTGGATTCCTCGACCGTATCTACGGAGGCGGTACAAGCCTGCCAACCGTTCTCTTAGCTGCGAGGCCTCCGGCCGAGCTGCGAGGGAAAAGCAAGATGATGGTAAGAAGTGTGTCGTCATTCGTGTGTCTGAGACTACAAGTACAAGGTGTTACGTAGTAGAGCACGCGCGATCACGGGGGTCGCGCGTGCCGTTGTGGCTCGTAGAAATGATAAAAGTACAATGGGAATCATAATCAGTACGCCCACCCCCGCGGAGTCTCGACGAGGATGCTCGTGATACCGGGTTCTCCACAGCGCGCGACGCCTGCAAAAAAGACGACTACCGCACGACAGCGGGGGATCCCGCCCTGCCTGACGCATCTAGCAACGCCGGCCGATGCGCATAACGCGTGGGAGCGCGCACTCGCTGCCTATGCGGAAGGACGGCGTGTTTGACGCGTTTAGCGCGTTCAACTGCATAGCCCGTGATCGCGCGCTCGCATTCGCCTTGAATTTGGTGCGTTGTATGCACGTTCTCGCACGTTCCTACTAACCAGTTTCTCACTATAGGTATCATGGCGCGCACTGGAGCTGCTTCGTGCCCTTTTGCTACTCGGCCACGCAATCCGGTACGTCCCACCCTCTGTTCCTCGTCCCCTTTTACTCATTGACGTACAGATATGGCACGCAACCAAATTGCACCCCCTTCCTATCCATTTGGCCAATCTAGGTGAGTATACCTATCTTTGCCTGCCGCTCGCCACATCGGGATGCCCTCGCCATATGCTGGGTGTTGGCATCACCGACTTTCAGATTTCGCATATATTATGCCCTAGGGGCAGCACCTTCAGTGTTCCCACCCCGGTACCCCCATCAGTCACTGCCTGGCAGATAGGGAGTTACTGGGGTGGTATCAGGTAATGCCCCTCTCCTGCGCCTCATTAGATCACATTTTACTTGTACTTATCTATCTATTTAGTATTTTACATTGGCTGACTTGGCTAGATTCTCGACTTATGTCTTGGGTGCTCTGACTTGTCTGGTGCATTGGAGACCAGACATGCCTGATGCCCGAGATTCTCGAAAGGTGTGTTAGACTTGCCTGGCATCACTGATTTACCCAACAATTCTGGACGACCTGATATCTCCACGGTCCCCCAATAATCCTAGACGAGCTGACAATTCTGGACATCCAGATTTCTCTGGACGACTTGAATTGTCAGGTGAATGCAGATATTGGGATGACCCGAATTGTCGGGTGAATGCAGAGATATTGGGTTCACCCGGCAATTCTGGTATCTTCATCTCTGTGTCCACCCAACAATTCTGAAGTTGCGACATCTGCGTCCACCCGATAACTCTGGATATTCAGAATTGTTGCGTTGTCAGCATTGTCGGGATGGTGCAGAGATATTGGTTAGACCCAAATTGTCGGCTAAACACAGAGATATTGGGTTGTGACATCCAAAGGTATCCGGACATCCAGAATTGTCGGGTTGTCTACAATTGTCAGGTAAATTGGTGACGCCAGACAAGTCTGGGCTGACTCCGAAAACTCTGGATAGCAAGGGAAGCTCCCAACAATTCTGGACCAGAATTGTCTGGTAGGGTATATAGTGCCAGAATAATCTGTAGTATAGCTAGTAGATTAATCTGGGAATGATCAGACATGTCTGCCAGATAATTGTGCCAGATTTTGTGAAAATTACATACCAGGCAATGCAACGGAATTTACACCCAACCCCGGCATTATCTGGCAGCCTGAGCTGTAGATCCGTGTTGTGAGTGCAATTGCAAACTCCCAGAATGAGTTAGGCAGACATGCCGTGAAGCGCATGACTTTGGCCTTGTCCATAATCGTCCGGTTGAAGCGCTCGGCACAACCATTCTGCTGATAAGCATAAGGTGCACCTTTCTCCTCCAGAATCCCGTTCTTCACAAGGAATTCCTCCATTCCCATGCCTTTAACCTCTCCCCCATTATTGATATGCCACTTTTTAATTGTAGCACTGAACTGGTTTTTTACCATCGCAATAAAGTTGCGCGTAGCCTGCTTGGTGTCAGACTTCTGTGATATACATACTGTTCAGCCAAAGGGGAGTGCCTCATCAAAGAAGCCAATAAAGTAACAATACTTGTGATAAGAAATCATCGGGAATTCTTTGATCAAATGGATAACATCAAAGGGATTTTTCGCACAATGCTCGGAAGGCGGGAAGGCACATTGGTGCATTTTCCCTTGCACGCAACCTTTGCAGGGGTGAGTTTCCTTGGGAAAAACAAGGTCTTGGAGAAAGCCCTTGGTGTGTTTCTTTGCCTGACATAGAACGTCTTTTGACAGATGTGTGAATTGCTGGTGCATGATGTCATAGTTGACCTTGTATACGGTAGACACAGACTTCACAGTCTTTGCCATGGAAGGCGTTGACCAGAGGAAGTACAGGGTATGCACTTCATTGAGTTTATAAAACTCGAGTACCAAAAGAGGAGAGTTCTTCCAATATAAGCTGATCATCATGCTGTTTCCATGCACAGATAATCCTCCTTAAAGTAAGGAGCCCAAGGGAAGTAAACAACCTGTCACAAGTGGGTATTTGTGGACACCTCTGACTCATCTATACCAGGCTGTGCTTAAAGCCCATGGACAACAAGTATATATGATGTCGGTTGCTTACACGTCCATCAGGAAAAGCGGTCTGGGGCCCGAAGCGGACTCAAGCGGGCTCAAGTGTCTCAAACGCTCAAGGGCTTCAAAAGTTATTGCCCAATATCAGACGCTCTCAAGACACTTGACTTGCCCTTGAACCCGCCTGAGACTGTTTGAGACTGCTTGAGTTTGACGAAGCCCCTTGAAATCCCGTTTGTTTTTGCCATTAGGTTGCTTATTTCATCAATAGTGAAAAGACAAAATAGTCATATAATTACGAACTTCCTACTACAGACGTGCTACTCGTATGTGTATGGCATCTCGGCCCATCTCACCTTCCACTACCCCCCTCCCATCGCACGCGCGCAATGCCCGCTCTTTCCAACAATATCGTGCTTGCCGCTTGTCAGCTGAGATATCTCACGCGCCATGCTCGCACAGGTTCGAACACGAGCTCTCGGCACTTGCCGAAACTGCGCAGCCGGCGCGTTGACCAACTGGCCGCACGTCGGAGGCCAGTGCTGGTGGTATGCACCACGAGTGGACGGCAGGCCAAGGCTACATGGGCAATCAGAGACGAAGATGAAAAAATACACAAAACACACATCTACGCGTGTGTGGCGCGCATCACATCTGCTCGTCGCACACGGTCAGCAAATACCAATCGGCGCCATCGCGTTAACCGTTGAGCTGCGCGTTTCCCAGCAGATGCCGGCACACTCGCGCGCTTGTTTGGTGCGCGGACATCGCCAGGGGTGGCCGTCAACGCAAAGCCGCCTCTGCGTGCTCGCCGCGCTAGCACACGCGCTTTGTCGGCAGATGCCGAATCAGGTGGGCGCGACCCATGGCGAGTGAGCAAGAAAAGGTGAGGGAAATGATGGGATCGACTGGGGAAGGGGTTAGTGTGAGTGGGAAGGTGAGCAGGGAGTGGCGGTGGAGGTGTGAGTGAATGAGAGGGTTAGAAAGAGGGAAATGGTGGGGAGAGCAAGCGTGGCCAAAAAAAACACAAAATTTGCACCACACCCGGCCCCAACCCGTTCCTAGGCAGGTCTCCCAGGCCGTCGGTTTCGGATTCTTCTTCGTCTAAGTGGGATGTTTTAGTAAGGGTAGGGACGGGTGAGGGAAGAGGTGAGGGGGGACGTGGGGAGAGGTGATGTGAGGTTGGGTTGGGGACAGGGGGTAAGACCCGCGCGCAGGCAGCGTCAGTGCACGCTCCCACGTGTGCCGGCCAGCACACCGCACCGCGTTGCGAACCACGGAGCGCACTAGCGCACGCGCAATCGGCCGCGGGGTTGTTGCGCGTGGTGACGTGGCGATGCCACGTCACCAGGCAGCCTGCGCCAACGCACAGCGGCTGGTACGCGTTTCCGCGCGGAGACGACAACAAAGGCGCTTGGGGAACCGTGTTGTCAAGGAACGGGAGAGTGGGGTTGAGGAGGAATATGAGGGGTGGGCAGCGCGCGTGGGCGCAGCGCTTCCGATCCCGCCCGAGTATTGCGATAAGTGTTGTTCTGCACATAGTGTAAGCGGAGTGAAGGCGTCGTTGGTGGGGCCTTGACGTGCGAGAAGACAGCGCGCGGCCTGCAGCCGACGCGCGTCGAGCAGACAACGAGAAGACGAAGACAAGAGCAGGGATCGACTGCGGCCGGACACGTTCCGGCCGTCACGTGACCCGCGGAAGTCCGGCACGGACTGCTGACCTTCGCCTCTGTTGAGCATGCTGGGAAGCGCGCCTATACTGCTTACCTGGTGGTAAGGAGCTTGGTATGAGGCAAGCGCAGAGGTAGGTAAAGACCTGTTATTCTGGGGGGCAGAGAGGCCCTCCTTATATATGTACAGGATGGTAGGTAGCATGTGATAATGCAATGGACATGTAAACAATAAACATATGATGTCGTCGCGTGTGTCCATGTGTGTCCATGTGTCCATCATGTGATACGTGAGTCATAACATGTGACAGGCCAAATGTCCAACACTCCCCCTCGCTAAGTATCACGGCGTAGCGTACGCAA